CATTGCCATTCCACTCTGAAGTATCAGCAAGGTCTCCTTTTACAGACCTTTTTGTTTCAGGGATCCAGGTTATTTACAAGCAGCAGCAGCACTGGTCACTTCCACTAATGACCTTACTTGTTTCCATCTGCATATCAAACAAATATCCTCCTCATTATGGTGGCGAAGGGGTGTTTCTCCTTTTACAATCTGGTACAGTAACAGCCCAGCTAGAGCCTTGCTATTACTTTTAAATTGCAAAGAATAAAGGCAGTTTCTACTAGGGGGTGGGGAGAACAACACAAGCATCAACTTTCTTTTCAGTGTATCTGTTGGAAACCACATTCGCTCTCTCTCTCTCTGCCCCCCCACCTCTTCCTGCCTTTATCAGGGAAGTGTCAGATCTCACACTTTTGCAGTAAGGTACAGAAATGCAAATTTTGCGAAACTCAGTAACACCTAATCAGAGGATGTAAACTTTCTGTGAACCTAATTTGTGGATTTAAAATGCAACACCCCCTAACTTTTTTTCACATGCTTTTGGACGCTTTAATTATACATTCATAGATTCTTCAGTGTTTTGATATATGTAAGAAACAGCTAATCATGATCCTTTGCCCAGTCTTTTAGAAGACACTGTAACTTTTGTTTCTTTGGCTTCCTGTTTATAATCCAGTACACACAGATAATATTTATAGTAGAATTGCAGAAGTATATAGTCAAAGCCACTTCTCAGGTATTCTGATATCCAAAAAAACTCCCTTTAATTTAGTTCTGATGTAAGGTAAACTACTTTTCCCATTTTTAATGTGCTCCTAGTAACACTACAGGACCTTATCATAAAATTAAAACAGGCTGCAGGGGGAGGGAGCAACAAAATTTGTTTTTTCCTGAATTCCCTGTGTCCTGGTGAAAAATAGCCACTCGTCATTGTCATGATTTGGATCCTCACCTCATCATACTTAAGTCCTTTGTGACTACATAAATGAAATGTATTCATGAATAGCTTAAGCCCTATTTATTTCACTGGGTTTACTCTAACCATAATGGTGGACTTTAGAGTCAACACACAGGCCCTACTCTATTCATAAATCTCTACATAAATCTAACCTGGATCCCTGTTAGCTTTGCACATGTGCAGGACAGAAACAAGACATCTACACAGAAATAAGTTGGTTCTCATTCCATCACATGTATCTGTTCAACAGTCTTCTCCCAACTGCCCCCCCCCCCCAATTCCTACCACATGCTTGAGTGTTTCCTTCAGAGGGGCCTCTTTAAGATTTGATTTGTTAAAATGTCATGGAGCCATCATCAACCTTTTCTAGCATGAACCCCAGCAGTCTTTTGGAGGAGGCAATTTCAAGTCCTAGTGGGTGGGCTTGCTTTAATTGTTCTTCCATGTTAAAAACAGTCTTCATGTGTAATAAATTACGGAGAAGGCTAAACTTACTTCTAGTTTATCACAGGGAGAAAGATTTTTGCATTAAAGATTATTCTGAAATATTAAAAGCCCTCCCTTGTCCTCTAGAGTGCTCTATCTGAAGTATACACAAATCGTCCATTATCTTCTGTGTACTGTATTGTGTAGCAAAACTCAGCCCAGCAAGAAGTTGTTCATCACCCTAGGTCAGAGACTCTGGAGCTTGAGTAAAGCATCCGTGACCTGCCCTGCTGGTTCCCTGAGGTTTGCGACCGAACTATGGTCCTTCTGTGCCTACTTTTCCTTAGTGAAGCCTCAAAAGATTAAGGGACAAAGCTGCCCAAGCGATTATTGCTAAAAGGTCACAGTGTCACACTAAAGGCTAAGGATTATTCAAGTGTAAGAATAAGGAGGAAATTTCCATCTCCCAAATGTTGGAATGAATGAATGAATGAATGAATGAATGAATGAATGAATGAATGAATGAATGAATGAATGAATGAATGAATGAATGAATGAATGAATGAATGAATGAATGATTCTTCATCATTGGCCATGTTGGAAGAAAGAATCCAGCAACAACTGGACAGGTTGTTCACCCTCCATCTTCAGGACAGGAATGTACAGTTTAGTGTGGAGGACATGGGCAGCATTAGGTGCATGTCTCTGATCAAAATAGCCTGAGGAGTCCAGAGATTTGTACCTGAGGGAGCTGATGGGGATGCCCTGTATCTACCCCTTTCATACCACTGTAGTTCCTTTGTATGCTAAAAAGGAAACGAAAGACTGTTTGAGGCAGCCCTGTTTCACTAGGGCTGAATGGAAATCCTCTGCAGAAGACTGAGCTATGGGGCAGATAGGAACAAAGATAAGCAATGCTGCTGCTACTTCCCAAGACCTCCAAATATGCACTATATGCTCACATGGGGATACAAAACTCCAGTTGCCTGAGGAAACCACAAAGCCAGCAATGACTACCAAAAAAGAAAAGCCTTAAAACTAACCAAACTGCTGCAATGTGAACTTGCATGGATTACAATCCACAACTTCAGACCACCTCTAGACAAGAAAATGATTGGCCATGAATCTGAAATTAGAAATGACACCACACAGATCCCACTGTGGCTACTATAGAAAATCAGAATTTCAAAAGACTTGAGAGGGGGCAGCTGAACTGGAACAAATCCATAAACGTCAGGATATAAGCAGAGGCTCAACGAGAAAAGGGGATCTTTTTTGGTGCAGTGTACATATATCAGTAAGTCAGTTTTCACAATACAGTAGTCTTGTGTACAGTTATTTTCCCCCCTGTTCTAAAATTCTCTGGCTTCAGCACAATCAACCTCTTTCTTCAAGAAGGATCACACTGGTTCAGCACTTTAAACTAGAGCCTAATTGTTGTGTTGTAGCCTGGAGACATTCAGTGCTAATTACTCTATTCTACTGTGGTGGCCGGATTAAACCGCTGAAGCCTCTGTGTTTTAAGGTCAGAAGACCTGCAGTCGTAAGATCGAATCCATGTGACAGAGTGAGCCCCTGTCGCTTGTCCCAGCTCCTGCCAACCTAATGGTTCAAAAGCATGAAAAAAATGTGAAAATGCGAGTAGATAAATAGGTACCACCTCGGTGGGAAGGTAAACAGCATTCCATGTCTAGTCACTCTGGCCACGTGACCACGGAGGATTGTCTGCGGACAAATGCTAGCTTTATGGGTTGGAAACTGAGATGAGGACCGCCACCTAGAGTCCGAAACAACTGGACAAAATTGTCAAGGGGTACCTTTACCTTTTTACTTTACTGCCAGGACATTTATATCATCAGCATTTTGATTTCATTACCAGGGTTGTTAAGGCAACTGCCATCCTCCCCTTCACATTTTCACCCCAGCCCCTCTCCCCACAACTATGTAGACTATATATATAAACCTGTGTCCTAAATATTAATTATATTCTCTGTATCAGACGTAGATTGTAATCCACGAAATTGCATATTATAATAAATCTTCAGTCTTATCAAAAGTGCCACAAAACTTTGCTTTTGCTACATGTACTTAAATCTGTTAAATGTATTAATATACAGTACGTACCTCGTTGAGCAAAGTCTGTAAGAAACTCCAGTGGTCTATATCACACAATTTAGCCATCTATTCTATATGGATTCTATCCCAGGACTTTCTCAGGTGCTATCTGATGGCAGATGGGACTGAACCAGGATGCTTGTGCGTTAAAAGCATATTGCTTTATCAGCAATCCTTCCACCTTAGTAACATTTCAGTCCTCAATGTTTCTACCAAGGATGGCAGCCTATGTGGCCCCTCATATGGTGTTCGACTACAATGCCTCTCCTTCTTTACCACTGGGTAGGCTGTTTAGCACTGGCAGCTCCTGTACTCCAACAAAATCTGGAGAGCCACATATTGCCTGTCCTCATTACAGGCTTACAAACCCTAAAATATGTGAAACTGGGTGCACACCCTCTTTCACGCCCCTTTCACCTTGGTTCAAGAGATGGTGGCTCAGTGTATGCAAATGGCCATGCCCCAGGTCCTAAGACTAACAAATCTGCTGTGGGTAAAACTTTCCATCTTCAAATACACCTCTTGGATTGACGCATCTAGCAAATTAAAAGATTACTACCACCACCTCTTCTAGTTTACCTAAAGAGAGCTGAAAGGAACAGCCTACATACATCAGGTCATCCTACTTACCTGAATGCAACATACAAACAGCAAATCAAAACTGACCCAAATGTTAAGCCAACTGAATTTCTGCCAAAGATACCAAAGTTAAGCTCAAACAGCTGGATGAGGTGAACAAGACATTTGGAACTATGCATTTGATTGGACATCTTCGGATACCTTCATTTCATAGTTCAGGAAACTAAATTACTTCCTGTTTGTTTATAACTTAAGACTGGACCTGCACTGGGAGAAATAGAGAGGACAGCTATCACAATATTCTCAGGATAATATAGAAAGCTCAAGCTGAAGAACCCATTATTTTCAGAACTGAAGCACATGTCCAAAGACAAACACAACTGAAGTAAATGGATGACATCAAACTGACCTTTTAGATTTTTCCAAATGCTGCTTTCTTTGTGGATTAATAAAAAAAATTCTTCTCACTTCTGGTCCAGAGTACTAATTAAAACAGATACTGAAGGTCCTCAATCTGTTTCTTCTTGCGTATTCGTGCTGCTTTTAAATTAAAAAATGTAAGCTGAAGTCCCACTGCTGTTCAGTGTCCTTACACAGACCTGATTTCAACAGTACTCTCTCATTACACTAAGATTGCACGCTATTTCCCTTATACCATATACTCCTTCCAAACCTTTATGTATAGGGGGTTATTTCCACCTGAACTGTTCCTGGTATTGCTTCGTTTGCACATCAAAACATTCTGCTATCTACTCTGAAAGCAGGAAGATCTTTACAGGGAGGGAAAGGGGGAGGGAGAGGGCTGGCCTCCTTTTCTAGTTCAAAGGTAGGTGAGAATTTGGTAGGCAAGGAGAAAAAAGACTCTTGTGACAAAACTATGAATTAAGAACATCCACATCAGATGGCTTAAAAGGGAGTTACAAAACACATGTCTACTAATAAACTTTGTTTCCACTTTTATTATTCCACATGGTTAACAAAAAGGAAGATCACATTGCTAGCCCTCTATCTTTTACCCCTCCCTTTTGCCATGTTGGGACACTTTCATGTATTTAGTAATTTTACAGCATAGGTCTATGTTACAATGACAGCTCTGGAAATAGAACAGAAGAAACAGCTCACACATCCCAGTTCCAAAGGATGGGTTTTGAGGGGTTAAAAAAGGCTGCGCTTACAACAGATCATAGCTCTTTTAAGATTCCCAAGCAATTGCCTGTTATTATTATTTTCCATTCAACCAGGAAAAAATTCACACTGGTCAACATTCTCAATAGCACACTTCTCATTAATTCTAATTCTTATTAATTCTGCACTCTATGTGCATTTACTTAGGAGTAAGTTCCACTCAATATAGTGAGACCTGCTTCTAAGGAAAAATTTGTACAGTCTGTCTGCACAAATTACAGATTGTTGTTGCTTTGAAGCATCAAGTAATGCCAAACCAAATTTCAGAGTTTAAAATCTGGAAATTACATGATGGAACCCAGTAATTTAATCTGCCAAAACTAAGGCTGGCAAAGAAATGTGAGCAAACGAAACATCCCGGCTCCCCAAACTTTAACAGGTAAGTCCAAAACAAGAATTAAGTGCTTAATTACCAATGTTTGCACTCAAGAATACTTATTTTATCAAATAGTTAAAATGGAACGGAATTTCGAGAGCAGAAGTGTCACACCTCAAAATACATGCAATCATTGGTGAGTTTTGCTTATTATTTTTTAAAAAAGATTAAAAAAAACATTTGACGCACTAACATACCTATCACAACAAATTCAAAATGTGCTAGAAAATGTGCACAAGACACGCTTCTAAAAGGCACCCTGACACCAATATTTTAAATGCTCACCTAATTCTAGTCTGGCTTCTAGTGTCCTCTTCCTTCACTGAAGGAGAGATCCTAGACCACTAAACTCATCAAGAGACTAGATTCACCAATCCCTTTCAGGGATTTTTCTTCTTTGTTTTTTAATGCTATTGCTAAAAAAAAAAATCTGAAGATGTGCATAAACACTCAACTTCATACCTTTCATTAGATTAAACCACCCGGTTCTCAAATGCACAAGGGATTTTTTTTTCCTAACAGAAAAAAGGTAGTTACTTCTGGGGCCACTTATAAGAGCCAAAATGAAGAAAAAGAAGGAGAAAACAGGTAAGTTGCAAAACTCAGCTGTGCATCAATAAAAGAGCTCTGCTTGCACAGGCTCCCTTTCCCTTTTTTTACCCCACATCCCTAATAAAAAGAAACCGAGACTTACAAAACTCATCACCCACACTCACAGATGAAATGTTAACTCATTCAGCTATTTAGCCTGTCAGGATCTGACAGTAGAAGAGTGCCATCTATGAAAGTCCTGAAACACAGAAATTTTACGACACAAATGCACCATCTGAAATCATCATTGTCTCTATTCCAATGGCTAGAAGAACACAGTGCTCAAGTATTCTCCCTGTTAGGTAGATCTTCGTTGGTTTCCTGTGCAGTTTGTTACCAAGGTCTCCACACAGATTTGGAAAGGCTGGGGGAAGGCACACTTTGCGTTCTAGACCTCTCCAGTCCATCCAAAGTGACGTGGCTCTGCTCGGACTCTGTGTCTTCCAGATCGGAGCAAATCTCCTCACTGGAGGAAGGTGAAGGAAGAGGTGAACTGGGCAAGTGAAAAGCTCCAGGCATTTGGGAGAGACCATCGTTATTCGGCCACGGGCTGATGGAGGGATCCGACAGGACGTCCACAATCAAGTCCTGAAAGCTGCCTTCGTTCAGGGGCATCGACTCCAAAAGATGGTTCAACAGCTCCGCGGCAATGGTTGAATCAATCCCAGGACAGCTTGAGACAAATGTATGGACTTCATGCATGCACTGGATATACCCAGCAGCAAAGCGTTCACTGGCCTCCCGCTGTCGTTTGTCACCATCTGACACCACAGATGAACAAGAAAACAAATGTACCAAGAGTCACAAAAACATGCTCTTTTGCTCTTCCCTCCTACAAAGCATGTGAATGTTTTCTCTTATCCCCCTACACTGAATAGACCTTAAACTTCATCACCATTGCCAACCCCTCCATACCTCTCAACACTTTAAAACTAAATGCTAGCTAAATAACAAGCAGGGAACCATCTCAAAACATGTGGGATAGAAGGTTCCCCTATTTCCTAGAGGAACCTTCTATCTTTCTACAACTTCAGCGAAGACTTTGGCAGGTCCAGAATGCAGCAGCCAGACTGATGGTTGCTGCAAGTACATTTGACCTCATCACTTCAGTTTTGGCTAGCCTCCACTGGTTGCCCATGACGTCCCAGATCAGGTTCAAGATTTTGACACTCACATACAAAGCCCTCTACGGTTTGGGCCCATGTTACTTGTTGGAGTGTCTCTCCTTAATGTCATCTGTCTGACCCACAAGATCATCCCAGTTGAGGCGCCTCCTGGTGGCCACCCCAAAGGAGCCTCATAAATCGTCTACAAGGGGTAGGGCGTTCTTTGTGGTGGTGCCAACTTTATGGAACCAGCTTCTGGAGGCGCTCCACCTAGCCCCCTCCCTATGGATTTTTAGGAAGCAATTAAAGAGACTGCTTTTTAGGGAGGCTTTCCACACCAGCCCCAGCTGACTACCTTCCTCCCTCTTTTTCTCTCCTCCCTCCCCTCTTTTCCTCCATCTACTCTGAAATTAGTCAGTGCCATCTGATTTTCTTTTCCTTTTTTAAAGGGTTATTATTATCAATTTTAAAATTTCTATTTTCATTTGTGTTTTCTATTTTATGAGTTAAGCTGCCCAGAGTAGTACTGTGACACTAATGGGGGTGGAATACAAATTGAATGAATGAAAGAACAAACAAACAAACTTCACCTAGTGTAATTTTTGGAAGAACAATCAGCAGGCTTTGAGCTGACCATGCACTTCTACTGCAAGGCTAATTCACAGCTGCAGCAGCTGCAGAAGTGCAGACATTTGGGCTGAGCCCTCAACAACAAGGTGCAGCTGTGATGCACCTCATCATAAACACACCCCAATTTACACATCTTCACTTTCAAGTTGGGTGGAAAAACCTTACACATTTTCAGTGTCCAGTTCATTCAGAACACACTAACAAGGCCAACAGAAGTTACTAAACAGGCCAACAAAGAGGTGCTTAACAATCAGAACACAATATGAGAGCAGAGGTTGGGATGCTAGTATTTACTCAAAGAATACCCAAGTTGTGTTTAAAATAAAGGTTTTGAACTAGACATAAAAGACTGTTACCAAAAATAGAAACGGGAAGTGGAAACATAATATGCGAAAGGTGAGGAAAATAGCATCAGCTACCCTACTGGGAGGTAAGATAGAATTTTAAAAAATGCAATAGGCAACTACAAAGGGGAATGAAAAGCATAACAGCTTTAAAATATAGAACAGAAAACAGGTTAGGCCCCATCAAAATGACAGGGAGAACACAGAACTGGCAAAAAGTCACACCAGTGCAAGCATAGCCTTCTATTGTAGTAACTACCAATGCTGTCTGTAAAGTGTCTTCTGGTATCTTAACACCAACAAAGTTTTGACATAAAAGTTTTGTAAACCCTATTGCCTAGGTTGAGAGAGAGGCCTGCTCGATTGTCTTCTTTTCCTCAAAAGAGGAGACCCACCAGGCCTTCCGTCCCTCTGGAGCAGCTTCTGTCTATTTCTTCCTTCCCAAGAGTTCAACCTACATTTGCTCTCCTGTCCCCTGTCCCTTGAGGCCACATTCCGGGAATCTGACGGGGAAATGGGAGATAACTAACGCGCACTCAGCAGTCCTCTGCCATCG